GGTGAGCCTAGCCCTAAGCTGGGGTACCATGGGGTGAGCCTAGCCCTAAGCTGGGGTACCATGGGGTGAGCCTAGTCCTAAGCTGGGGTACCATGGGGTGAGCCTAGCCCTAAGCTGGGGTACCATGCGGTGAGCCTAGCCCTAAGCTGGGGTACCATGGGGTGAGCCTAGCCCTAAGCTTGGGTACCATGCGATGAGCCTAGCTCTAAGCTGGGGTACGCGCTGTATAAGTCCACTTTAATAATAATAATGTAATAATCCCTGCGTGTCCTTCTTTCAACAAGTTTTGCGTTTTAACTGTTTCCTCGGCCTGTTAGCATTTCGTCATACCAAAAGGTCTTTCAGCGCAGTCCTTTCGGTCACTTGTTTTGATGCTAGCCACATTCATAATATCTTCTGCACGTTTCCTTAGAGCCAAATCATGGCTCCCTGAAGAAACTTTCCTTTTTGTAATGTTCGATTATTTTTTTTTTTTAAGGAATGGGTAGCATTTTCAACCAAATGAGGAGTTTTTTCGTGGAAATGGCGTTAAAAATCTTGTCCCGCCAGAGTTGCACCTGCCATTGGTCCTCACCTTATTACCTCGCTGATTGCAGGCCTACTGGCTCTCCTTTCGGGCCTTGTACGGATGACTGATAGACGTATAGTTTGATCCCCTCTGTAAGATTGGCATTATTCCAGATGTTATTGCTCATTCTGGCGCTACATATTCCTTCCAATAAGTCACAAGTTTCTCAGTTTCTTCTCTTTCTTCGTTGAGTGGAACCAGACCACAGAGTCTGCCTTGTCCCATAGATGTCCTCAAATAATCAATGATTAGTTTCATTTTACTGAAAGATCTTCTGCAGCTCCAGAAATACCAGGAGGGTATGAAATGTGGTAGTGCTGCATTCCCTAGGAAACTGCAATAGTTAGCATTTTCTGATTAGAAATGTGAAGATTAGGAAAGCCACTCTCATCTCCATATTAAACTTAGAATGTCATCAGGTTGTATTATTTCCTTGTTGGTATGTCTTGACAGCACGATTTGACAGCACGACTTGACAGCAGAATTCTACAATCCAAAATCTTTTTCTATAGCTGCTGCCCATCATATCAGAGAGCTGTAACATTTCACAAAAGGGCTCGTCCATTAATTACGTCAACAGTTTTTCCGCAATTTTTGACCCCCTCCCTTCCCTTGTCAACAACTGTCAAACTTTCGAT